GCCCAGCACATCCTCAAAAGCAGTATGGGGACCTGGGGTTTTACTGACAGCCTGTGATTCTGTCCACCCTTTTTCTAAACAATGGGCCTTATATAACTATTGTGAAATAGGATATGCTTGTGTATTGTGTTATAACTGAAAATGATCAGTGGAAGTAAAAATTAATAAATAAAAACATTGATAAAGACAATATTCACCTTTAAATCAGGACATGAAAATTCTGCATATCAAAGTTTGAAAAAGTTTGGCTTGTGGACCAAAGGTGAATTCATGTTTCATAATTAAAATCGTAAGAAACAATACTATGTAGAAAGTACCCTAGAATCTCTTGTTTGCATAATCGTTATGAATGCAAATCACAACAGAAAGAAAAATCTAGGGGAAAAAAGATTTTTATTTGGTTTCTATTTCTATTCCTTGTTTCCAAGTGCCTTATTTTACTTCCAGCATCTTTGGTATTTCATTCTGAAACTTAATCTCATGTCAGTGTGAAATAAGCTGTGATTTAAGAGCTTTGGGTTTGGTTTGGTTTTTTGATGACATTAAACTATATTGGAAAGGGGAACATCTAATAATAATTTTATAAGAAAAAATGTATAAAATATCAAGACTACATTGGACTTAGATTAGGAAGATGGAAAGAGAGACTGCCTTGCAATTGCAACATAACTTATAATTACAAGGTGTCCTCGATTTATGACTACAATTGAGCCCAAAATTTCTGTTGCTAAGCAAAATAGCTAAGTGAATTTTGCCCATTTTAAGACCTTTCTTCCCATAGCTGTGAATCACTACAATTTTTAAGTTAGTAATATGGTTGCTACTTGAATAGGGTTTCCCCATTGACTTTACTTATCAGAAGATCACAAATGGTGATCACATGACCACGGGACAATGCAGCTATCAGAACTATGAACCAGTTGCCAAGCTTCCAAATGTTGATCACGTGACCATGGGGATGTGCAATGGTCTTGTGAAAAACCATTGTTAAGTCACTTTTTTCAGTACCATTTAACTTTGAACGGTCACTAAGTGAACAGTTGTATGTTGAGAACTACCTGTATTTATTCCTGCTACATTTAGAAGTCTGTATTGTATGACCACTGACTTTCAGAACTCTATAACTGAATTTCCAGATGTTGGAATTGGTGGTTTATAAATAATTCTGAATAATTAAATCTCATTTATTTATGATTGAATAAATTTAGAAGCTACTCAATATAAGCAAATAGTGTACAAAAGCAGCATTCTTACTGGTTCAGTTGCTTGAATATGAAATGCTCTTTCATATTACATTTTTCAGAGTGCAGCTCTTTCTCTCCACCAACTACTGTGATCCTCCTGATCCTCTTGTGTTTTGAGGCTCTCCTTTTTCTCATTTTCACATCTGTAATGTTTGGAACGCAGGTGCATTCCATCTGCACTGATGAAACAGTGAGTACTTCCTATCTCTTGATTATTTTGTTCCTGTTTTAAAAGAATCATTTGGCGTGATTTCATTTTCTTTGTCCAAAAAAGAATATGAGGGTGCCAAACTACAGTAGAAAATATATTTTATAAATAGCAATTGGATTTCCTGAAATACAAATATTAGCAAAGTTTTTCCCAATTTGATGCTTTCCAGACATTTAATTAATTTCAAGGTGGGAACCTTGTTTGGAAAGTTTGGTATAGGACAAATGTGGATATAAAATGTGGATATTCATGGCTGATAACTTTCTACAATTTCGTTTTTCACTCTTACTGTATACAACAGTAACATGCACATTAGTGACATACAGAGATAATATGGGCAGTATATATTTGTACATTTCTAGAGGCGTTGCCACCCATCATTTCTGCATTATCCAGTTTAGCAATCAAAGCAGTTGTACATTTCAACAAATGTACCACTTCTCTTTCAAAGGAAAATTGTCACCTACTATTAGTATCTGGTATTATTAATCTGAAAGAAATCTGTGATTGCCTGCTTAGAATGTAAGTGGATCAGACATCTTTTAGCATCTGTTTATCAATTTTGATCAGCAATGGATGTTGTTGTTTACTTCTCTTTATTGGCTCCTGCCCAATAGAAAGCGCTGTTATTTTTTGCAATGTGATCAAGTTGCCTGGAGTAACAGACAGACATAAAAGAGGTATTGTTTTGCTATGAGATCCAAACAAATTGAGCCAGTGTTGTCATCTGTTTATTTTGTTTCATGAATTGAAAGAGGTTTGGAAGAAACCTGCTATCATGGAATTATTCATGCAGATAGTTTTGTGCCATGTTCTGCAGAATCCTGAAATGATAGTCAAATAGTTAATCATATTTTTTGTTATTTTCCTTACAAAGGAAATAATTAAAATTTTGTACATTGAAATGAGATCCATAGGTATCATTATGTTGCATACAAGTCTTTCACCAAAATAAGAATGTTGAGATTGCCATCTTATAAGTGAGGAACCCCGTGGAACATACTGGCACTTATTTCTGTTGAAGACTCCTTAGAATTTTTCTGTAATAATCTTCTCTAGGCCCATTTTCAAATAACATATTGAAAATGAAGAATTATATCTTTGTTGGAGAAAAAGAATGAAAGATTTTAGATAATTTTCCAAAGTGAGAAATAAATTTGTAGCACTTTAAATAAGGAAGAAACATCTCAGTGGAAGAAAGTCCAGTGTATTCAGGCTCAATTTAGTTATTTCATAAATGTTCTTTGCCTACATTGTTCCCAGTTGTTGTAGAAATTTAATAAGGAAGACTTCAGCCCCAAGAATCTCAGAATGGCGTATTATGTTAAAATGGAATAAGCATTATTTTGCATAAGAATCAGAAAATTTTTAAAAGCAGTAAATTTCATATATTATAGGGTGTTATGCCTAAGGAGGACCGTCAATCATCAACCTCACTTCTGAGTTGGGTGAATATGGCAAAAGAAGAACTAAAGAATTCAGTATATCTATGCAGAAGATACAGTTTGCAACAATCCCTTTAAACCAGGGGTTCCCAACCAGGGGTGCTTGCATCCCCTGGGCGTGCGAGACAATATTCCAGGGCATGCGAAAACTTGGGTTTTCAAAATTATAGTGTATATGCATAATTCGTTGCCATTATTTCAAACTTTTGTAAGGGTGCGAGAACATATCAGAAGCATTCTAGGGGTCCGGGGTATAGAAAAGGTTGGGAACCGCTGCTTTAAACCAACATTTTAAATTTAGAGGTTTATACGTGCAGCCATCTTTAGGGAATGGTTTACACCTCTACTGTTGTGACCCTTTTCTCATTTCATCTATTTTGTGAACTAAAATGCTTTTAATTCTTTAGCCTTTGCATAGTAAAAAATATCCTTTTGCTATTTTGGTGGCCATTTTAATGTTGTTTGTTTTTCCACTGTTTTATTTTATTTATGTATTTATTTAATTTGAGATGGGAATACTAGAAATTTGAAATACTAAAATTTGAAATGTGACCATGCCATTGGATTTTATATGAAGGCAGATGGCAGCATCTAATCTACCTCAATTATCTGAAAACAATTTAATCTGCTAGGCATGGTTAATATGTTTTGAAAGATTACTCCAAAATCCCAGGGATATGGACTAAACTTCTCAGAAGGTGGCAGTGACAAACAGCTTCCACATTTTTGCCAAAATATTAGTAGATGTGCAAGTTGAATTGAACTCAACTCAAGGGCATCATCATTTATTATGATTCCAAAAGTTTACATTGAAATGCACTGCAAAGTAAGTGGCCCAGTTATTGTTTTCCTGGTTGCATTTGAGAATCTCATCAGTGTATACATATAAATGAATTATTTTCTTCTGTCCCTAGTATAATTTTATACATGTGTTACTTGAAATGTCACGGTATTATCTATTCATCCAGTTTGGAAAGATCATTCATAAAATTATCTGCTTTGTATTTTTGAACAAGCAGGATATCTGGCACATATTTACAGCCTCAGCCACCTCATTGTTTATATCCTACTCAGATATGAAAAATCAGATGTGACTGCTGTAGTTCTTTTAAGAAAGTAGATTCTATTGTTCATGTACTTCACTTGAACAGTGCTCTTTTCCCACTCTTTTTAACTATTTATTGAACCATAAAAAGACTAGTTGCCAGACATGGGTCTGCTTTTTTTTTGCCCACAGCATGACTAAATCTATTGGCCGATGGAGGGGAAGTTGATCAAGAAATGTACTACATGTGTATATAATATGGTCTTAGCCCAAGAAACAATTGATAGGAATAGGGTGGGACGGTGCTAAAAATAACAATTTTATCAAAGCCTTTTTGCACTCTCAAATTTACTGTGGTATTTAGATGGCAGAACTCAGTGTGCTACATATAGCATAATACAGAAGCATCAGTAACTCTGAGAAGTATACCCTACTAATGCATGAAATGAAGTTAGAGGTTTCTGTACCTGGTTTATGGTTAACCAAACTTTTCTATATTGTATCAAACTATGTTTCATTATTCTGCAGCCCAAACAGGACACACCAAACGTAGCCCAAAATATCCAGTGCACTATTGCCACAATTCTTGGTTTCTTTTAAAGTATAGGAGCCCAGTATATTTCTGCAGCCTTCTTTTAAGCTAAAGGCTGTGCACAGTTATTCTGTGAATCTTAATTTAGTTTATATTCTACTCTCTTTTTCTTAAATTTGATCCACTATCATTTTAAGATTTGAGATTAGACTGTTTAAAGTAGCAGTGAAGATTTAGTTACCATGCTAAGACTTTGGTTTAAATTAAATCGATTCTTAGCCTTAGTATTTGCTGAGTGTTCTTAATTTATCCTGGGACTTTCATTTAAAAGTTAACACTGCCCATATAAGTTTTCACCAAAATCACCCTTAGTTTTAGGATTTGATCATGCTAAAATAATAATAAAAGAGAGAGTAAAGATGTAGAATATCAAATAAATGTGTCTTTGATCCTAAGGTATTACAATATGGACAAAATAAATGACTTGCTTAAACCAGCTTGCCATAGTGATAATTTAATGACTCTTATACATAGAATAGCATATTAGCAAGTCATTAACTTATTCTAGGGCTATATGGAAAATAGGGCAACACTGTAGCAGAACAATAGAATCAGTAGATCATGTGCTCATGCTCATAGGCTGTATGTACAGTATACCAAGATGCTCAAGAGATGTTCCATCTCTTTTATCTTATTTGGGTGACACTAAACATTGCTCACTTCCTTTTTACTTTTTAACCTAGAGCTGAGATATGTGTAAAAGTAGCTAGATTTGTGTAATGTAGTAGTTGGGAAATATGATACTGACCCACAACTTTTACATTCCAGACATTTTAAAATTAGAGACATGTTTAAATATTATGATTTTGCATTTTATAAATATTTTACATTTCTATGCTTATTTTTGTTTATTTTTGTTCCACTTTTCTGTATTATAGTCTATGATTATATAAATATATAAGCATTACAGTAATTTATAAATAAATAGAGCTGACAAATTTGCGTTTGCAAGCTAACACTGAGCCATAAAAATAAGATCTCAAATCATAGTTTTAGTTTGGTTTGGATTTCATATTGGGTAAACTATAATTTTGCTGAGTTTACATAAAAATCATGTATTCATCCAGCTGTTTATTTATTATTAATACTTTTATGCTGCTTCGTGACCTGGCTTTAAACAGCTTAATAGCAATTGCATATATGAGAACTGATATCAGAAGCTTCTTATATCCTTTCAACCAGGGTGGAATGACAGGATGAATTAGGGACCTCAGGAGTGAGCCTCCTCAGTAATGGTCCCCTCTCCTCTGCAGCACCCTTTCCCCAGAGATGAAGCTGGTTCCATCCTTACTAGTGTTCTTGAGGCTGTTATGATCCAGAGCAGGGGTAGGCAACCTTGGCTCTTTTATGACTCATGGACTTCAACTCCCAGAATTCCTGAGCCAGCATGGCTCAGCTTGGAAACTTCTCCCTTTCCCCTCAGCATAGCTGGCTCAGGAATTCTGGGAGTTGAAGTCCATGAGTCATAAAAGAGCCATGAGTCATAAAAGGGTCTTTGGAGAAGAAATGGTAGATGGCCTGATCCTTGAGAAAGGTATATCACATTGGAGACAAATTATTTAGATTTGATCTACATTACTTTATTGTCATTGGCTGTATTGGAGGATCTGTAAGCTATTCAGAATCAGTTTGATTGGAGCAGCATGTAAAGTCAAGTGATAAATAAATAAGTAAACTTGTTTGACATTTATGACTTCTCATAATGCAAGGCAAGGTTCACTGTTATGTCTAAATGCAGTCATTATTTACTTTATTACTCTATTACATAATACTTAATTTCAGAATTTACTTCACAATCAGAAATAAGGGTGTCTTAGCAAAACATGCTGAGGATAAGTCAACATGAATTTTGCTCAGTTTGTTTAATAATTAAATATTGTGATTCCAAGTTAATTTG